TTTCCCCTCAGATTCTTTTCCCCTCAGATTCTTTTCCCCTCAGATTCTTTTCCCCTCAGATTCTTTTCCCCTCAGATTCTTTTCCCCTCAGATTCTTTTCCCCTCAGATTATTTTCCCCTCAGATCATTTCCCCCCCATTTTCCCCTCAGATTATTTCCCCCTCAGATTACTTCACCCTGTTTTTTCTCCTCAGCTCATTTCCCCCCCATTTTCCCCTCGCGCTCGACACAAGGAGGTCTCTGTATCACTCAGATCCCAGATGCATCAGGCCTGGCACTAAAATTAGCTCATTTCTGGGAAATTGCTTATTTTGCAATTCCTCCAGAAAAAAAAAAATATATATATATAAAAATCCCATCTTGACACATGACTAAGAGAAGGAATTTTCAGGCTGAACTCATTCAGTGATTGTGTTTTATTTAAAGAACACAGGAGCGGCTCTGCAGATGGGAATCAAAAAATCTCCTTAGCTAAATAACTGTCCTCATGAAATGGCCCTGCCTGTGTTTTTGCCCTCATAAATCAATTTATTTTATACTTTATCTTTTACTATTTATTTAAATATTTATTTATTTATACCATAAGTTTTATTTATTTATTTATTTTCTTTATCTGAGATTTTAGATGGACACACACAGAGGATTTCCTCAAGGGAAAAAAGGAAAAAAGAACTTTTTTCCATCTGATGGTTCTGGGCAGCATCCACCTGATCCCAGAGCCACAGGAGCTTCTGTGACACTCCAAACTCCCAATTTTCTGCCTCTCTTCCCTGTTTTTCCTTTTTCCCCAGATTTATTTCACCTCTGAGGGGTCTGTTTGAGGTGGGCTCAGAGCCAGGAGGAAGAGCGCCAATAAACCATGCTCAAGCAAATCCCATAAAAATAAAATAAAGGCAGACATGACAATATTTTCCCCATTAATAAAGCTGTTATTTATAATGTATGAATATATATTATTGTATAATATACATTATAAATAACAGTATATACATATTTTTAAGCATTTTTAGGAATATTCACCCCAGAGCAGCCAAATCTGTGATTCTCCTATTTCCACCGAGCGAGGAAATAACACCTCGGGAATTCTCCAGCTTCCTAAAATTTTGGGTTTTTTGGTTTTTTTTAAATTTTTTTTTCCTCCAATCCAAAGTTCTGCTTGCCAAATGTCATTAATGGATCCTCCCAAGCATTTCCAACCCCAGAGCAGCCTCATCCCTCTCCGGGGTGGAGCCGAGCGTTCATGGTGTTCCGCGGGATGAGGTGTCCGCTCCGCTGACAATTCCATTATTCCCGCTGAGTCCTTGATTTATCCTGCCCGTTTTTCTAATTATTTTCTCCAACCACCTGCCTGGTGAGGCTCTGCTGGGCTCTGCCTGGTTTTGGGAGAGGTTTTTTTTGTTTGTGGTCATTGAGGTTTTCTGGAGAGCGTTCCCTGCTGCCCTGTGGCGTTTTCCCTGTCTGTGGAATGGGGTGGGAAAGACCTGGAGGAGGAAGGAAATCCTCCAAGGATATAAAAAGATCAAAAAGCAGGGGGAAGAGGGAAGAAAAAGCAGAGTGGAAGTGGGACACGGGATCAGAGTGAGAAACAGAACCGAAATTTTGCAGTGGAGGCAAGGAAAAAAGCACTTTCTGTGAAATATCGTGGAATTGGAGAATCCCAGAATTATTTGGGTTGGAAGGGACCTTAAAGCTCATCCCATTCCTATGGGCAGGGACACTTTGCACGATCCCAGCTTGCTCCAAGCCCTGTCCAACCTGGCCTGGAACACTTCCAGGGATGGAATCCACAGGGATGAAACCCACAGGGATGAAACCCACAGGGATAAAATCGACGACCGCTCCGTGCAAAAATAATTAAAATAAAAACCACAGCCAACACACATCCGCCCTTACCCATCACAATATTTTGAATTATTATGAATAAAACCAGCTGCTGCTGGCACGCAGAGCTGGGAGAAGCCTGCCAGGGTGGCTGCTGGGAGCTGGGAGCAGCAGGAGAAGCTGCTGGGGAATCGATAGGTCGGCAGGGACGGAGGGGACGTTCCCTCCCGGAGCTGTAATTACCTGCCCGGCTTGAAGAAGCACCCGGCGTTTTTCTGGCCAAGGTCAGCACCATCAGCAGTTATTCCCCTCCCAGGAGAAGCCCCTGGATTTATTGTTGTTGTTTCAACTGGTGCTGAAGGTGCTCAGAACTTCTAAAGTCAAGCGGGGTGCTTTGTGTCCGACCTTCTGCCGAGCTGGGGAGTGGCTGGGGGGGAGGAGGGCTCGCAAAAAATGGAATTATTTTGTCCAAAGTTAATCAGAACGACCTCAAAATCAATAACGATCCCTGGAAAGCCATGGGTTTGTTGTCCCAAAAAGAGAAAGAATTGGATCACGTGGAGAAGGGAAGATCCAGGGAGAGCTCAGAGCCTTTTCCAGAGCCTAAAGGGGCTCCAGGAGAGCTGGAGAGGGACTGGGGACAAGGGATGGAGGGACAGGACACAGGGAATGGCTTCCCACTGGGAAAGGGGAGATTTGGGGTGGGATCTTCAGAAAGAATTCCTGGCTGGGAGGCTGGAGAGAGGCTGGGATAGAATTCCCAGAGAATTCCTGGGAGTGTCCAAGGAAAGGCTGGAGCAGTTTGGGATGGTGGGGCGGGAATGGGATGGGAATGAAACTCCATGGATCCCATCCCAAACCATTCCAGGATTCTGGGATCAAGGACACTCAGGATCCATCCCCAGGGATTTTTATGGAATTCCAGGATGGAAAAGGGAAGGGAGGCCGTTCCTGGAGTCTCAAAATTCCCAGTGAAGCCCCTGGATGCCAAAATTCCTTCCCAGAGAGGAGTCAGGATGGGGATGGATCCAATGCCAGGCTGGGAGAGCTGGGAATGGAGGGAATTCCCTGGGAAAGGGGTGGAATTTGGGAAGGAATTCCCAGCTGGGCTGGAATTCCCAAAGAATCCCTGGGAGTGTCCAAGGAAAAGCTGGAGGTCCCTGGGATTGTGGGAAGCGTCCCTGGGATGGGACTGAAGGTCCATGAATCCCATCCCAAACCATTCCAGGATTTTGGGATTTTAAGGAGATGCCTCCACTTGGTTCCCCGTTAATTTTATGCAGCAGAAATGTTTAACAATTCACCAGCCTGGACTGACATTTACACAGCACTACACATAAAGAGTTTTTGAGTTTTTTGAGTTTTATCAACTCAAAAGGATAATATAAAATTTTAAGGCAGGAAACAGAGACTGAATCCTTGGGAATGAAGGAATTTTAGGAATTTATCTGGATATTTTTGTTATGTTCACCAGGGCTCTGGGAAACAAATCAATAAATTTGGTTTGGTATTTTATTCTCTGGATTTACTTTTAAAAATGAATTATGAATCCTCCTCTCCCAATTCCAGCCTCATCCTCGTTTCCCAAATCCAAAAACTTCACCTCCTGCCTCCCCAGTTTCTAGGGAAATTGTCATTAATGCAAGGATGGAACCCAGGATGGCACCACCCTTCCCCTCAGAGCCCAGAAATTCAACCTTCCCAACAGATTCCCAAATTTCCTGCAGTGAATCAGGAGCAATTCCAGGAGCAGAAATCCTTTAACCACTCATCACCAATAAGCAGCAAAGGATAATTATTAATAAATTAATTACAAAAAAAAGCAAAGTAATTCCTCCCTCCTGAGTTTTCCACCCCAGATTTTGGTCTCCTCTTTGTTTGAACCTGCCCAGGGTTGGCTCTTTCCATTTTTTTTGGTCATTATTCCCATTTTTCCACCACAAATTCCAGCCCAATCCCACAGAACTCCAGCTGCAATTCCATGAGATGTTGAGGGAAGAAGGATTCAAGGTTTTGCTGGGTTCTGCATCACAAGAATTCCATGAAAATTCCATATAATGTCCACACTCTGCTTCCCAGAGGATGGTAAAAAAATCATCCAGGAGCAGGATTATGAATATAAATAATATAAATAATATAAATAATAAATAATTACTGGAGCAGGAATTTGGAATTTTGTGCTCATCACTTCCAGTCTCTCACCTTGGCCAAAGAACCAAGACATTTTATTCAGGAAAAACGCAAGGAATTCTGCACAAAATCTCTCAAAAAAGTTCCTACCCCAGGTTTCAGGATTCCCTTCCTGCCCTGTACAGCTGCATTTTCCAGGTTGTTTTTTTTTTTTTCCCAGAAGTGCTTTTCCAGGTTTCAGGAGTCCCTTCCTTCCCTGTACAGTTGCATTTTCCAGGGTTTTTTTTTTTTTTTTTTTCCAGAAGTGCTTTTTTTGCTTTCTGCCTGTATTTTTAATCAATATATTTCATTACACTGATATTTTTTAGTTCCAGACAGCACCCAGCTCAACCTTCCCCTGGGATTCCTCCATCACGACTCCAATTTCTGCACTATTTAAAAAAAAAAAAAAACAAAAAAACAAAAAAAACCCACCCAATTTTGACTCAGAAAAAAAAAAAAAAAAACCAAACTACAAAACCTGAAAATCTACCAAAGTGTTTAAATCATTGCACTGCTCACCATTTGCTCTTTATTCCTCTCATTCCAATTTTCCCCAGGAATAATTTTATATTTCCTTCTACATCACTGACAAAGAAATTGAACAGCGCCGAGCCAAAATGCTTTATAACACACACACGCTCTAATTTTGCAATTAATTTGCAATTAATTACCTTCCAGAGAGGATCTTTTTATCTTGGAATTGTGTCCTACTCTAAATCCAAGAGGGAAAACCACCTTGGAAAAAAGCAGGAGCCTCAGTAAATACGGGAAGAGCTGTTTTCCACAGGGACCCCAGTGACTCAGGCTTGCATGAGACAGGGATATAATTTTCTGGATGAAGTAGTTCAACAAATCTCTTTTTTTTTCACCTTTTTTTTTTTAAAAAAAAAGATTTTTAAATTGTTTGCCTTTTAGAAACAAATCTGGTAACCGAGCAGGAAGTTTTCCATGGGGAAAAAAGTGAGAATTGATGGGTTTTTTTGGTTTTTTTTTTAAGGAATACTCACAAAAAACTGGTCCATGTCCCTGTCCAGCCCCATGTTGGGCAGGTCTGGCATCATGTGTGCCACCACCTTGAAGCCAGCGTCCTTGGCCAGGTGGAAGGACTCACACACAGCCTTCACCGTGTGACCCCTGGGTGGGGAGAGAGGGAAAAAGGGTCAGGAGAAGGCAGGAAAAGCAGGAAAAGCCATTCGTGTGCTCAGCTGGGATTATCCCCCTTGGGAGGCTGAGTTTGGGGCGTGGCTGGAGGTAAAACTGAGCCTAAAAGGGGTTTGTTGAACATTGAAATTGTTAATTCTGTGGGAAAGGAGCTGCTCTGGGTCTTCCAGATCCAGAGAGAAATTTGGGAGAGCTGCTGGAATCCAGTCTGGAAATCCAGGTTGGTGTCCCTCAGGAAAAAAGGGGAATAAAAACATGAATACAACAATAAAAACAGCAGGAAAGGAGAAGAGATGGGAACGAGGAAAAGCAGCCAAGCTGAAAATCACCCAAAATCCCTTCTGGAGAAATGTGAACCTCCCCAAATTTTGGGATTCCAGGAGGGTTCCATGTTCTGCCACACTGACACCAACCCAAACCCCAGATCTGCAGGAGCCCGGGGGGATTTGGAGCCCAAAATGATCTGTTGAATATTGAAATTATTAATTCTGTGGGAAAGGAGCTGCTCTGGGTCTTCCAGATCCAGAGAGAAATTTGGGAGAGCTGCTGGAATCCAGTCTGGAAATCCAGGTTGGCGTCCCTCAGGAAAAAAGGGGAATAAAAACATGAATACAACAATAAAAACAGCAGGAAAGGAAAAGAGATGGGAACGAGGAAAAGCAGCCAAGCTGAAAATCCCCCCAAAATCCCTTCTGGAGAAATGTGAACCTCCCCAAATTTTGGGATTCCAGGAGGGTTCCATGTTCTGCCACACTGACACCAACCCAAACCCCAGATCTGCAGGAGCCTGGGAGGATGTGGAGCCCAAAAAAGGGGTTTGTTGAATATTGAAATTGTAATTCTGTGGGAAAGGAGCTGCCCCAAAGTTCCAGACACAGAGAGAAATTTGGGAGAGCTGCTGGAATCCAGTCTGGAAATCCAGGTTGGCGTCCCTCAGGAAAAAAGGGGAATAAAAACATGAATACAACAATAAAAACAGCAGGAAAGGAAAAGAGATGGGAACGAGGAAAAGCAGCCAAGCTGAAAATCCCCCCAAAATCCCTTCTGGAGAAATGTGAACCTCCCCAAATTTTGGGATTCCAGGAGGGTTCCATGTTCTGCCACACTGACACCAACCCAAACCCCAGATCTGCAGGAGCCTGGGGGGATTTGGAGCCCCAAAAAGACCAAATTTCCCACAGTTCTGGAGAAAATCCCTTTTTCCTTCCATCTCTGGGGCCCCCACCAGGAGATTCCCAACTGGAAGTGGGAGAAAAGTCTTCCCCCAAAATCCTGGCTCTGTGCCACATTCAGGGGGATCTGGAGCCCAAAAAAAGACCAAATTTCCCACAGTTCCAGAGAAAATCCCTTTTTTTCATCCATCTCTGGGGCCCCCACCAGGAGATTCCCAACTGGAAGTGGGAGAAAAGTCTTCCCCCAAAATCCTGGCTCTGTGCCACATTCCTGGACAGTCCAGGGCACTTCCATCCCTTCCCATCCCTGTTTTCCTCTAAACTCCTGGAATTCCAATTCCTCCCAATTCCAATTCCAATTCCAATTCCAATTCCTCCCAATTCCTGGAATTCATCCACTCAGACGAGCTCTGCAGGTGATTTTTTTTTTTCTTTCCCTCCTCCAAATCCCTCTGGATAAAAAATCCAATTCCCTTTGGACATCCCTGTGTTCGTTTATACCCTGAATTAATTTAATTTTAATTTTTTTAAAGGATCTTTTCCTCCCTCTCTGCCAGAAGATTCAACCACTCCTCCACGCAGCTCTACACCCAGTTTTATTTCAGATTTATTTATTTTTTTTTCAGGAGTATTACAGTGTTTTTCTGAGACTCTTCAAGGACAGCATCACTCAAGACCTTGAGTAGCCTGAGGGGAGCAAACGGGAGCTTTGCTTCATAAATAAAAATTATTTTCTTATTAGAAGTGGAATTGGAGCTGCATCAATAACTTGATTATTTGATGCCTAGCTCTGTTCTTGAATATTTTTCTGCCTCACAGCCACTGAAAGCACTCAGAAACCTCACTAATGACTTATGGAACATAATAGAAAGTAATTTCCAAACTGTTACCCTAATTGGTTGTAATCTGACATTTTGCTACCAGGGAAATATTAAAAAGTTTCCAGCCCAAAACAACATCCCCCCCCACACACACAGAGCACAACAGAAGCAAAACGAGGTCGTTTCAACAGAAAAAAAAAAAAAAACATGAATCACCTTTTTTCGTAAAGTGGATTTCAAGACTTTGCTCCAAAAATTGGGAGAAGTTGAATAGCCTTTTAGGAATTCTAAAATTCAGAGCAAGGAGCTCTGGGAAAAGCCTTTAAAAATCGAATTTGAGGTGGAAAACAAAATGGATTTTAAGATTTTAAAATTGATTATTTGGGGGAAAAAAGCATTTTAAGATTTTAAAATGGGTATTTGGGGGGAAAAAGGATTTTAACATTTAAAAATGGATTTTTGGGGTGGAAAAAAAAAGAGCTGATGAGGAATTAATTGTTAAATTGATAATTGTAATAATTCAGACTGAGACCCTGCCACATCCAGAGGAGGAAACCACCTGGAACCAGGAGTTTTAAATCCTCAATAAATGGATTTTCTCGGGTTTTGGGATCATGGCAGTGACACGCAGATCCCAATTCCTTTGGGATTCCTCCTTGGAGTCTCTGAGCAGGAAATTCCCAAAGTTTTCAGCTCTGGTTTGAGGTGGGAATTACAGAAATGTGCTCTGCCCATGGGGCCAGGATCTCTCTGTCATTACCTCAGATTTATGAAAAACAAGGAGAAAAAAAGCTTTTTTTTTTTTTTTTTTTAATCTCAGACTTATCAGGCTTGAAATAAATAAATAAATAGAGATTGGTTTGTTTGGGGGGTGGGGTGAAGAAAATCTCACATTTTCCTACAGAGCACACCGGTTTTTTGGGTCAAAATGATAAGGAATGAATTATATTTCCTCCTGGAAATGTGGGGTTTTTTTCCAATCCCTAAGGATTCTGTGTGCCTGGAATGACTTTGGGGAATTTCTCCTGGCCAGTGTCACCTCTCCTGTCCCAAAAAGGCACCTGGAGGAGGGAAAAAGGTGGAAAACACCCCAAAAATCACACCCCAAAAAGCGTTGTGAATTGGGATTTATATTTACAGGAGGTGCAGGGTTTCTCTGGGCCATGTTCTACCTCCCAAAATTCAATTTAGTGATGGTGCCATTAGGAAAAGAGGTGTTCAGCACAGGGAGAGAATGAATAAATAAAAAAAAATGAGGTGGACAATGCAGGGGAAGGAGGGAGACGATAAAATAAAGAGTGTGAAACACAGGGAAAGAATGAATAAATAAAAACAAAAAGAGGAGGACAATACAGGGGAAGAATGGAAACATTTAAAAATGGAAAAAATGGAAAAAATGGAAAAAATGAAAAATGAAAGAGTGAAACAGAGGGAAGAACGATACATTTAAAAAAGAGCATAAAAGGGAAAGAAAAGATACATTAAAAAAAAAGGAAAAAAAAAAACATATCAAAAAACCAATGTACAACAAAAGCAAAGGATCTGAGTCCCAACGAAAACATCACAATTCCATTTTTTCCTGCTGAGGAATGCAATCCACAAAATTCCATTTTTGCCTACGGAAGGGCACGAAGGAGGCTGGGAAGCTGCTGGGGTTAATTCATTTTGACAGGGAAATAAATGAAATGTTCCAATATTCTCTGAGCAGTGGGAATTAGCCAAGGAAACGGGAGCTGAAGGGTTCCAGAAGGATCCAGGGAATCCTTGGAGCCCCTTCCTGAGCCTAAAGGGACTCCGGGAGAGCTGGAATTTGGGAAAAGGATGGAGGGCCAGGAGCCAGGGAATGGATTCCCCTGGGAAAGGGGAGCTTGGGGTGGAATTTGGGAAGGAATTCCAGGCTGGGATAGAATTCCCACAGATCCTTGGAGCCCTGGGAGTGTCCCAGGGTGGATTTGGATCACCCTGGGATGGTGGGAAGTGTCCCTGGGATGGGAATGAAGGTCCATGGATCCCATCCCAAACCATTCCGGGATTCTGGGATCCAGGACATTCAGGATCCATCTCCAGGGAGGAATTTTTGGGGATGGAAAAGGGAAGGGAGACCCTTCCTGGAGTCCCCACTTCCCAGGGAATTCCTGAAATTCCTTCCCAGGGAGGAGCTGTGGTGGGGATGGATCCAATGCCAGGATGGGAGAGCTGGGAATGCCCAGCTGGAGAAGGGAAGGATCCAGGGAATCCTTGGAGCTTTTTCCAGAGGGAAAGGAGAGCTGGAGAGGGACTTGGGAGAAGGGCTGGAGGGCCAGAAGCCAGGGAATGGCTTCCACTGGGAAAGGGGAGATTGGGTTGGGATTTGGGAAGGAATTCCTGGCTGGGATGGAAATCCCAGAGAATCCCTGGATCCCTGGCAGTGTCCAAGGAAAGTCTGGAGCAGCCTGGGATAACAGGAGGTCTCGGTGTTGGAATGGGATGGGATTGAAGGTCTCTTCCCACCCAAGCCAAGCTCGAATTCCAGGATTCCATGGGATGGGAAGGCAGCAGAGAAGATGGAACCCCAGGCTGCGGGAATGGCTTTTCCAGCAAGTTGGACCCTGCAGTTTGGGATAGCAGAAAAATTCCATGTCCACAGAAGGGGCTGGAAAGGGAGGAGCTTGAAGGACCCTGAAGGAGGGGAGGGAAGAATTCCCACCCCAAATCCTTCCCTTCCTGACCTTTTCCCAGCACAGGGATGAAGCAAGGAGGGAGAAGTGGGATTTGCACAGGGAGAAGCTCCTCTCCAAATTTTGGGAAAAATCCCAACATAGCAGGGAAAGGGGAGCTTGGGGTGGGACTTCCTGGCAGGGCTGGAATTCCCAGAGAATCCCTGGGAGTATCCAAGGAAAGGCTGGACAAAACTTGGATCAACCTGTGAGATGGAAGGGCTGGGATGGATCCCTGACCTGCTGGGATTCCCTGGGATGGGGTCCCTGACCTGTTGGGTTTCCCTGGAATGGGGTCCTTGGCCAGCCAGGATGGCGTCCCTGACCTGGAATGGTGTCCTTGAACTGGAATGGTGTCCCTGGCCAGCTGGAATGGTGTTCCGGAGCTGTTGGTGTCCCTGGAATGGTATCCCTGACCTGGAATGGTATCCCTGACCTGGAATGGTGTCCCTGACCTGTTGGTGTTCCAGGCCAGCCGGGATGGAGCCCCTCAGCTGTTGGTGTCCCTGACCTGGAATGGTGTCCCAGGCCAGCTGGGATGGTGTCCCTGGAATGATGTCCCTGACCCAGGGTGGTGTCCCTGAGCTGTTGGGTGTCCCTGGAATGATGTCCCTGAGCCGCTTGGTGTCCCTGAGCTGTTGGTGTCCCTGGGATGGTGTCCCTGGGGTGGTGTCCATGGGACGGTGTCCCTGACCTGTTGGTGTCCCTGGCCAGCTGGAATGATGTCCCCCTTTATCAGTGGAGGTCTAACGAAGACTAATTACTCCAGCTGGTAAAAAACCCCCACTCCTGATGACAAATGGGAAGTCACTGACCTGTGAGAGAGGGAAAAAAGGGAAAAAAAGAACCCAAACTGAAATTCACAAAAAGAAACCATCGATCCCCACCATGACCAGCGAAGAGAAAATTCCTTTTCACGGGGGAATCAACTCCCTGCAGCTTTTTTTCCTGAACTTTGAGGTGGTTTTGTAGCAAAACCTCAGCCCAGGAGCACAAATTTACAGCAGGAAGAGGAGAAACTTCCTTTGGAACTGCAGAGAAAAGCTGGCTAAGTCCCAAAGCAGGATATTGATGGGGGTATCAGTCTCTTTAATGGCCCCAAACGATGATTTTTGGGTGTTAATAGGAAATGCTGCTGGAAAAGGGGACACCTTGAGGAAGAGAGGGATGTTATTCCCATACCTGCACACCCAAATTGAAAGGATGACTAAGTTCAGGTCTTTATTAGGAGTCTGGAAAGATTCATCATCACACTGCTGGAAATTTTTGAATGGAAATAAAGCTCTCAGAGCAGCACCAAACACAATTCCACCCCACTAAAAAAAAAAAACCCGATCAAAATCCTTCAAACTTCAAAAAAAAAAACCAGCAAAAAAAAAATCCCCAAGTGGGTTCAGACTCATTAAAAAAATATGAACTCCCTTCAAACTGTTCAGATCTATATGAATACAGAGATATTTGGGGGACAAGCTGTCAAAAGAAGCGTTTTATAAAAAAAACCAACAATAAAAACTACGTGAAACATTTCCAAGTTTGTGGCTCACTAATCTGACAGCCCAAGAGCACCAATTGTTTATCACGTCAGGGAAAACATTGCCAAAGTGTGATTCATTAACAGCAGACTCCCAAACACCCACTTTGCGAGACGTGATTTGCAAAAATTAAGAGAGAGAGAGAGAAATTGGAGCGAAAGAGTTCAAAAAAAAAAAAAAAAAAAGTCTTTAGATAACTTGGGACAAAGGGTACCTGCTCCTATTAACACCAAAAATCAGGGTGGAAATACAGAGGGGAGATAAAAATAATTAAATCACGGTCGTTTCCAGAAGAAAGAAAGAGAAATTTGATTTTTTTTTTCGGTGTTTTTTCTCCGCTCTTGAATTCAAAAGGTTCATTTGGATATTCAACATTTTCTCCTCTTTGCAAAAGGAAAATCTGTTTCATTCAGAACCTGACACCAAAGGCAGGGATTTTATTGGCTTAGAAGCCAAACACAAGAAATATCAGAAGTGGACATGAATTAAAAGCTTTAGTGGATTTACATAACCTGCCATTTTCTGGAGGGAATTATCACAGAGTGAACCATAAAAGCTGAACTGGGTATTATTACCCAGCACAAAGCTGCATTATACAACTAAATTACATTTGGTATTTTATTAAAAATAATTTAAAAAAATCAATCTGACGCTGTTTTGTATTAAATTTCCACATTCTCCAGTGCTGGGGCTGAGCTGGGAAGGGCAGGAAACACTGGAGCAGGGGCATCTCCAAAATATGGATTTACACCAGGGATTGAAGGGGTTTTTTAACCAAATTGTGAGGATCTCTCAGTTGAAAGCACAGACAGGGATTTTCCAGTCAGCAGAGGAAAAAAAAAATAGGAAAACTGGAATAGCACCTTCATCAGTGGGAAAAGCTTTTGAATCCCAAAATTCCAGAATGGTTTGGGTGGGAAGGGACCTTAAAGATCATTTCAGGCACCTTCCACCATCCCAGGTGGCTCCAAGCTGGCCTTGGACACTTCCAGGGATGGGGCAGCCACAAATTCCCTGAGAATTCCATTCCAGGGCCTCCCCACCTTCACAGGGAAGAACTTTTTCCTATTTTTTTTTTAATAGGATTTTTGGGTGGGGATTTGGAGTTTTTTGTGATCACCAGGATACCCTGGGATACTCCAGGAATTTCTTCCCAAATTCTTCCCCTTCTCCCAGGGAATTCCCTCCATTCCCAGCTCTCCCAGCCTGCCATTGCATCCATCCCCATCCCGACTCCTCTTCGGGAAGAAATTTTGGGATCCAGGGGCTTCACTGGGAATTTTGAGACTCCAGGAAGGGTCTCCCTTCCCTTTTTCATCCTTGAATTCCATAAAAATCCTGAGTGTCCTGGATCCCAGAATCCTGGAATGGTTTGGGATGGGATCCATGGAGCTTCAATCCCACCCCATTCCCACCCCATCATCCCAAGCTGCTCCAACCCTTCCTTGGACACTCCCAAGGATTCTCTGGGAATTCCAACGCAGCCAGGAATTCTTTCTGAAGATCCCACCCAAATCTCCCCTTTCCCAGTGGGAAGCCATTCCCCCCTTGTCCCTCTCCAGCTCTCTGCCAACAATCCAGCAAAATTCCCTCCAGGAATCTCCTAAATTTTAGGTCGTGCTGCCATTGAGGAACCAGGGAGTCAGACCCAAGGAGTTCTGCCTCCTGTCCACTAATCACTCCCAAAATCCCAGGATGCCTTGGGTTGGAAGGGCCCTCAAAGCTCATCCTTTTCCGATCCCATATCCCTGTTCCCAAATTGGAATTCTTGCATCATTCCCACCCCTATTCTCAGCTTTTTGTGGCCTTCTGCTACCAAAAAAAGCCGCCCAGCTCCGCAGCCGCGCCGCAACCGCATCCAGCTGGGACATGATTTGCCTATTCCCATCCAATTTCCCACTATTTATGCAGTCAGGGGTAATTTGGCTGCTGAATCATACAGAAAGCTCATGATTCTGTGACTTCAACCCAAAATATTTTTTTTTCCAGAGATTTCTGGTGCTGCTCAGAATAGAATCCTGCCCCGTTCCTAGAAAAACTGCTGGATGTTTTTTTCCGTCCTGTTGCGGTTTAGCACGGGACGTGGATTTGCAGGGATAAATCCCAGCTCTGGGATGGATGGCTGCTGCCAGCCCTGAGAAATGAGGATTTGAACACGATTTTCAACACAAGCCCAGGGGCACAAACAGCAGAATGCCATTAGAAACCGTCGGGGTCAGCGACAATCATTTTCCGCTTTGGAAATCCGTGGAATGGGTGAAACGTTGTGCTGGGCTCTTTTCTGGTGTCTGACATCTGCTCCGGGTCAGATTCCCTGCAGGATTTCAGGGATATTCCGTGTTTCTGCCCATCCCTGGGAGCCCAGGAACAGGATCCAGGGGATTTATGGTGGTGGTGGACACGATGGATTTGGCAGCAAGGGATCTTTGAAAACAACAGAGCTCCAGCCACAGATCCTGCAGGAATCCTGTGGTGATGGAAGAGGGAATTGCCTCTTTCCAAGCAGGAAAATCTGGGAAGGGAACACAGGGAACTCCGAAGGGAGGGATTTCAGGATAGCCAGACACAGAAGGTCAAGACCTGATGAAGAATTACTGATTGAAATTGAGTGACCGGACAGAGAAAACCCTGAGAGATTCCAGGGACCTGAGCTCAGAGCCCCACCCATCCCAGGGAATTCCACAATCCTGGAATGCTCTGGGTGGGATCCATGGATCTCAAATCCCATCCCATTCCAACCCAAACTTCTCCCACGATCCCAGGGTGCTCCAATCTTTCCTTGGACACTCCCAGGGATTCTCTGGGAATTCCAGCCCTGCCAGGAAGTCCCACCCCAAGCTCCCCTTTCCCTGCTATGTTGGGATTTTTCCCAAAATTTGGAGAGGAGCTTCTCCCTGTGCAAATCCCACTTCTCCCTCCTTGCTTCATCCCTGTGCTGGGAAAAGGTCAGGAAGGGAAGGATTTGGGGTGGGAATTCTTCCCTCCCCTCCTTCAGGGTCCTTCAAGCTCCTCCCTTTCCAGCCCCTTCTGTGGACATGGAATTTTTCTGCTATCCCAAACTGCAGGGTCCAACTTGCTGGAAAAGCCATTCCTGCAGCCTGGGCTTCCATCTTCTCTGCTGCCTTCCCATCCCATGGAATCCTGGAATTCGAGCTTGGCTTGGGTGGGAAGAGACCTTCAATCCCATTCCATTCCAATCCTGACACTTCCTGCTATCCCAGGGTGCTCCAGCCTTTCCTTGGACACTGCCAGGGATCCAGGGATTTTCTGGCCAGGAATTCCTTCCCAAATCCCACCCCAAGCTCCCCTTTCCCAGTGGAAGCCATTCCCTGGCTCCTGGCCCTCCAGCCCTTTCCCAAATTCCAGCTCCCCTGGATCCCCTTTAGGCTCAGGAAGGGATTCTGAGGATTCCCTGGATCCTTCTCCATGTGAACATTCCCAGCTCTCCCAGCCTGGCTCCACAGGAGATGAATTTTACCTTCTCAAGCACCAACAAACCCCTTGGAATATTTCTCCTCCTTCCCTGGAATACAGAATAATTTGGTGTTTGTAGCACGGCACTGCTGAGGATCCCCCGCATCATCCCAGGAATAATCAGGAATCGAGACAAGAGAACAGCACGAGATGAGAGAGGGGCAATTTTAATAATCGGCTGACCACAGAGGTTCATTATGCAAATGAGGCAGCTGCCAAGTCATGCAAATTAAGATCCACAGAAGCCTTAAAAAGATTTGTGCAGGCAGATTTTGTGAAGTCAGTGATTACGGCACTGTCTGAAATGGGGAGAAATAAAGGTGAGATAATTAATTTTAATCACTGGCAAATCTTTTGAGTGAATTTGCGGGGAACGCTGCTGCATTAAACAGACCTTTAAATCAGAACTGGCCTCTTAAATAAACTCGTTTTTTTCAGATCTACAAGGCAGCTACTCCTCCACCAGACCCGGGGTCTGGAACACTTTCTCCCGCAGAGAAAAAACAGCGCAGCTCTGGCACGAACAGCTCTGTTAACAAAGCCTCTCCATTAAACTCTGCTCTCCAGACAAAAGCCTCGTCAGCTGAGAGTCCTGAAGATCAAAGACTCAATTATTCACAGCCCGGCCGGGGCAGCTTCCCAAATCCCAAATCCCAAATCCCCAGCCGGGATGGGGATGGCCGGGAGCCAGCTCCGACTCTGGCAGCA